ACACACACACACACACACACACACACACACACACACACACACACACACAGATACACACACAGCAGACTCATCCCTCTGTGCATTCACAGCCGGAGGTGGTGGCACGTGCCAGTGCTCCCCACACTCTGGGAGACTGAGCTGGGAAGATCAAAAGTTCCAACCCAGCTTGGGCAACTTGGTGACTTAGCAAGTCCTGGCTCAAAAATATTTTTAAGGGCCGGGGATTTAGCTCAGTGGTTCCAGCCCCTGCCTCGAAAGTGCAAGGTCCTGAGTTCGGTCCCCGGTACCAAAAAACAAAAATATTTTTAAAAGGCCGAGAACGTATCTCAGTGAGAAGGCCCTGGGTTCATTCCTCAGTGCCCCCCCCCCAAACACACAAATGCATTTATGTGTCTGTCTTTGCTATTAGTACCTTGAGGACACAGACCATGTGTTATTCAAAGACTGAATTTTTTTTTTCCTGGTACTGGGGATCGAACTCGGGACCTTGCGCTTGCAAAGCAGGTGGAGGCACCACTGAGCTAAACACCCAGCTCTAAAGACTAAATATTTAATGACTGCAAATTTAGCATTCAGTTAATCTAAATCAATGATCATCTAAGCCAGTAGTTCAATAATGATGAATAATCCAACAGTTCTCCACGTGTGGTCTAAGAATTCTCAGGGGATATATGAGGTCAAAACTATTTGCATAAAACACTAACACATTGTTTCTTTCATTCTCAGTCTGTCACAAGTACACACTGAGACAGATCTTCCAGGGGTCGTGCGATGTGTGATATCAAACAGCCCGTGAAAACTCAGCAATTCCCTTTTAACCCAGTTATTCAGAGATATGAAAGAGGCCAGGCGCGGTGGCACAGGCCTCTAATCCCAGCACTTGGGAGGCTGAGGCAGGAGGACTGCGATGAGTTTTAGGCCAGCCTGGGCTCCAGTGAGTTCAAGGCCAGCCTAGAATGCATAGCAAGATGCTGTCTCAAAAACCAAACAATCTGAAAGAATACAACATAATTCCACTTGTTGCTAAGGCTGTTTGGAAACAAGTTATTTTTCATAAAAATATACTATTTATACTACATAGGAGTTTACTGTTATATGTATTCTAAAATAAATAATTAAAATTTTCGGTTTTAATTTCTAATATAGTACAGGAGGTATGATCAGAGTATACTGAATATATTAATTTAGAACAATTAATTACAGTAAAAGACATGCTGTTATTAATCCCCCTCAAAATACTCCTTTTCATTTCAAGTACACTTATGCCATCATTGTTACCACCTTTGGAAACAGTTCTGGAAATTCTTCTTCCTGAGTGTCTTCATGAGGTGTGATCAAAACTATGGCGAATGCTGCTGTAGACTGCCATCCAAAAGAAAGTAGGCTTGTAGAAATACTGGTGTGTCCTCATCCACTTTATTCACTGGATCTGGCACCGTGTGACTTCTGGCTCTTCCCCAAAGTCAACATGTCCGTGAGAGGTGAACATTTTGAATGGATTCAGGACATTCTGGCAGTCATGACAGCACAACGAAAGACACTCCTGAGAAAGGACTTCCAGAACTACTTCAGAAAGTGATGGGCAGAAAGTGTGTTCGAAGAGAGGGAAAGTATATTGGAGGGGCTTAATGGCAATGTGTCTTTTACTGTAACTGAGATACGAGGTTTGATTGAAAAACACAATGAATGTTTAAATTTTTAAAAGCATTATTACAGTAAAAGACATAAACAAAAGCTTCTGGAGGGCCTCAATAATATTACAGAATGGGAAGGGGTTCCTGCGACTGAAAAGCTTGAGAATTGCTGAGTCAATAATGTGCTGACCAATTCTCCACAGGGAATTTATGGCTCTTGGGAAACAGGCAAATTCCTTGAAGAGATCACCTCAGAGTTCCCCTGATGGGTACAATGCCATGTCTGCTATGTGAAGATGAAGATGGCACTGGAGAGCCATGCGTTGATAGTGACTACCAAGGCAGCGCCATTTAGGGTACACATTACTGCTAAAGAAGGGATTTGAGTGCACTTCAGGAGATTCACTGAGCTAAAATGAAGGATCCATTCTAGGCTCACACTAAAGAGAATACACACAAAACAAACGTAGAGCTGCAAATGAGTCAGTCCTTTCCATGTAGCAACTGAAACCTCTCATATGGTTAGACACTGAGTGCAGACTGAGGGAAGGCCTTCTCATAACTCAGTCCTCAGGATCCTGCAGAGCACAGGACGTACTTATAAAAATGTGGGAAACCTTTCTTGTTAATTAACGTTATCTAATCTTTAAAACCAAACCAGTTCCTCACA